GTGGAAACCCCATCTCTATTAAAAAGGCAAACAAAATTGGTGCAGCACCACCAACATGGCACATGCTCTACACCTCGCTAACGAACCGTGCATGTTGTGCACCATTGGTTTTTGTACTTCCTAGAACTTAAATATAATTTTTTTAAAAATTAAATAAATTTTAAAAAATAACAAAGAATACAAATGCAAAACCAAAATTAGCCGGGCCATGGTAGCATTGCGCCTGTCAGGTCCCAGCTGCTTCCGAGGAGGCCTGAGGCCAGGGAAGCCACTGGAACCCGGGGAAGTGGGAGTTGCAGTGAGCCGAGATCTTCGCCACTGTACTCTAGGCGCTGGGCAACATGGAATCCAGACGGCGCATCTCAAAACACAAGACATAACAAACTCCACCTGCTTCCAACTTCCGACGTCGCCACAGGACCCAAATAGCTGACTGCATTGGCGCCGGCAGCCAGCCAGAATGGGCAGGATGACCTTGGGGACTGAGCAATTTTCAAAATCTCCTTCCAGTCACTCAGGCCCCAGGAAAGGTTTCTTCAGTTAAAAAACCGAGCACCTTGCATTCCACCCTTAGCGCACACCCTAGACAAGATGATGGGTGACTCCTTTTAAGATAGACAACAAATATAAAGTGACAGAACCCGGAGAGGCGCTCGTTTATATTGGAGTATAGGAATCCATCCTCACCCCAACCCAGCTAACAGTTTGTCCTATGTAATCTTCGCCACCCTCATTCCCAGGTATGGTGGGGGGCTTGGGGCCCCACGTTTCCAGAACAGGGATATTGCATGATCAACAGTGTGTAAAAGGCCCCCTCCTCCAGGGCCTTCCCATGGGCAGGGACAGCTGGGCGCGGAGGGGGAGGCAGTTATCCCCTGGCAATGATCACTCTGTGTGTGTGGTGGATGTAGTGCGAAGACACCACCAGGACTCCAGGACAGCCGCTCGGAGGTGACGAGCGTGGGGAATGGAAGAGGGGTGCCGTGGGCGACTGGCAAGCCGCCCCCACTTTCACACCTTTTGTGCGTGTGGAGCTTGTGGGGAACATGAGACTTGGGGATTGGGGTGAACTCGGAAGCTCGCAGGACTGTGCCGAGTGTGGCTTAGAGATTTCGCTCACCCCAAACCCTAGACCTCAGGTCTTTCTTTTGTTTTTTTTTTTTTTTTTTTTTTTCTTGAGACGGAGTCTCACTGTGTCACGCAGGCTGGAGTGCAAGTGGCCGGAATTCTCAGCTCACTGGCAATACTACGCCTCCCGGTTTACACCTTGCTCCTGCCTTCAGCCTCCTGAGTAGCTGGGACACAGTTGCCCGGCCACCTTTCTCTGTTCTAGTTTTTTGTTGATTTTTTTTTTCAGTTAGAGGATGGGGTTCACCAGTTTAGCCAGGGATGTCTTTTTGTATTTTTCTTTTTTGTTTGTGATCCACCCCATCTCGGCCTCCAAAGTGGCTGGGATATACATGGTTTTGAGCCAGCCCGCCCAGGCCTATTTGTTTATTTTTATTTTGTTTTGCTTTTTTTTTTTTCTGGGAGATGGAGGTCTCGCGCTCTGTCATGCAGGCTGGAGCTGTTAATGGGTATTAACTTGGGCTCGCTGCAGCCGTCCGCCTCCCAGGTCAAAGCCAATTCTCCTACCTCAGGGCCTCTCCGAGTAGGCTGGGACTACAGGTGCGTTGCCAGGCTCATGCTCCAGCCTAATTTTTTTGTATTTTTAGGTAGAGATGGGGTTTCCACTATGCTGGCTAAGGCTGTGTCTCGAAAACTCCTGACCTCAGTAATCCACCCACACCTTCGGTCTTCCCAAAAACGTGCTGGGATTACAGGCGTGAGCGCACTGCTCCCGGCCTAT